GCGAGCAAATCCAGTAGAGATGCATACGAGGCCTCTCCCGAACGTGATATCTGGGCTCTTAGTAGCCTCTATATTCGTCACACTGCTGACATTTATTTTCTCCTTGGTGAATTTACGGGTCTACAGCCTGTATGTCACTCCGGTCGCTTGTTTCATAACCGCCATACATCACACCACCCTCTTTGTGCTTTCCAGACGGAAGGTAGGACCACCTCCTCTTGCTCAGGCAGCTAATGCGAGTCCCTTCAATCAGTCGCGGTCTTCAGTGTATCGACCTGCGTCACCAAATGGGGCATCCCTCAAACCAAACGACATCATCATCCCCATAGTACGAGAGCAGCACGTATACAGTAATGGACCCACGTATCCGTCCTATACTGTCAGTGTGCTCAACTGTACGCTCACCTTCCTCATTGCTCTCTTATGGGTAGCCGGTTCATGGCTGCCCATATACTTCACACTCACCAAGGAGCACCAACCCACCGCACGGAATAGGACGATTCCTATCCTCGAAGGCGCCTTTGGGTACTGTGAAGCAATTCTTCTCTTCTGTCTATTCGGTCTATTCGTTCATCACAGAAAACTTCAGCTGCGAACAAAAGAGTTCATTCGTATGGACAACTGAGCCCAACTGTGAGCAATGCTCTCCGCGCTCAACGAATGCCGTTTATGACAGTTGATCTTTGATGGACCTTGGTTCCCCATCAGCGGTTCGGCTGTACTTTTATTTCTAAAGACATTTTACATCAGTGCTAGACGAGTTTCTCTCGTGTCGTGCTATATCTTTATAACTTTATTTCTTCGTCTCATGTGGGTACGAATCTATTGCTCATCTCTGTGTCTCCTTCAACCCCCCTTCATTGTGCTAGTTCATCATGATAGACTTTTCCTTTTATACATTTGCTGTTGTTCTACCATAAACGGGTTGCATCCTAAGTGACGTGGACTGGGTGCCTGGACCCAGAAATCAAAGTCCGTATCTAACAGGGCGCTGAACCTCAAAGCTCAAAATTTGGCTATGCCCACAAACTATACTTATATTTTAGAGTATAAACATGCTGGAACAGCGCGCGTCTAGAGCGCGTCAAGGTGTCGGGTACAGAGTGACGAAGGGTGGCAACCATTGATGTCGATAGGCAAGCGACGTCCAACCACTTCGACCTTGACCATCTCCGACTTGCTGCTAGCGCGGTCCTCCGCTTGCTTTGCAGGCAATTTCCCTCTATCTCTTCTTCTCTTTTGTAGTCCCAACACTATACTTTCCGTTCATTCTTTTAACTCAGACGCTGCGCGCACCCACATTCCTTGTATTTCAAAACCAAACCGACTGGACATCAATCAATCGTATACCCAAACGAAATCACCATCAAATGATCCAACTCAACAAATCTGCTCTACTTGTACTACTACTACCTCTTTGTGCACATGCTCACGTAGCCCCATATAAACAAGGAAATGTCGAGAGGAGTCTCGAGTCGAGCGCGGAAGCCGCCTTGCAGCGCGTATGGGAGGGCATCAAATGCATGGGTGAATGTCGAAAGACATGGGGATGGCAAGGAAACCATTTCGGCGCCGATCCGTGGGGTGGAGTGCTCAACATCGGAGACCCTCTGCCTTATGACCCCTCCCAACCGTCGACTCCGATCAACAACGACTCGGGATCACGAAACTCCCAATCTGCCAGTAGTACAACCTCGTCTACTGAAGGTGGATTTGGAATTTTGGACGTGACTACGGCTCCTGTTCGTTCGTCCACTACCCAACTCGCCGCCCCTAGCCTTGTAACTTTACCTCGAGTCACCACGTGAGTTTTCTTTCTGTACTATTAGCTTGTTGTTTAACAATATTTATTACAGGACGACCTCTACTTCCACTTCGTCTACACCGACCACTACGAGCACATCGTCGGAGCAGCCTTCCCCAACTCCTGAACCCGAACCAGAGACCACGACTAGTGAAGAACCTGCTCCAG